TTTTCGGGGTTGCCTCGATAGCCTGACCCTAGCTTACCATGCTAATGACTTATTTGTACATGTGGGTTAACTTTTGACACAAGTTTAGACATGTACACCGAGATGCGTACGAGTTTAGATTATGTATATCTGTCCACATATACTTTTCATAGTTACACAGTCCTCGTGTTGGACTATAATCCATAGAAGTCCTCGTGTTGGACTATAATCCATCTCAGTCCTCGTGTTGGACAAGCATTACCTTTTTGTCCTCATGTTGGACACCCTTCCCACTTAGTCCTCGTGTTGGACATGCATTGCTATTTAATCCTCGTGTTGGATATGCATTACCATCCGGTCCATGCGTTGGACAACGGTCACATCCGGTCCATGTGTTGGACAACGGTTATATTTAGTCCATGAGTTGGACATTTACTTCATGCAGTCTATGGGTTGGACGTTTAATTTATATAGTCTATGTTTTGGACACTTAATCGTTTTCTGACATATCACTTATGTGAGTTTGACATGACACTATGTTTGTGTCACTCATGTGAGTTTGACATGACACTATGTTTGGAAGTAGAGATGTGTTTTGTTTTCTTTTAATTTATTCATTTATATAATAGACTTTAGGTTTGGTGTTTAGGGATTTACAATTTGAGATACAAGGTATATACATGAGGGTTTCCTTGTTTGGATTATTTCGCTCGACGTACCTATGCTCGTGTTGTAAATTTCTAAATACTAAAATCTTCTTTAGTAAGATTAATGATTTTAGATCTATTATGTATTAACTGTATTTTCTTATACAACGAACCATGTTCCCTTGGGGTTGGTTGTGATGTTGCTCGCTAGTGCTTTGACGCTCGTTGTCCCTCCCCCTTTCAGGTAACGAGCTAGGAGCCCGGAGAGTCGCTGGTTGATGGCGATGCATTTTAGCTTTAGCTGTCTACTTAGTTATATTTTCTTTTGGAGTTCCACAGTAGGCTTTTGTTTAGACATTTGAGAGTCTTATTCTAAAAGTTGTAAAGGTTGTGTGCCTTATTTCCTCTTGTCGGATATTTGTATTTGAGACTTGTTGAGTATTCCAGTTTATCTATTCAGACATTGACTATATATTTCTGTATGTTGGATGATGAGATATCAATGTGATCACTATTATTTCATCAGTTATTTCTTGCATTTTCTTTTACTTGCTTTTGTACCTACACCTGTTGTTGACTCTACTAGATAGATGTTAATTGTGATGGTGAAACATGTTATTGCACGGTGTGGTGCATGGCAGGTTTGACATTCTTGGTTTTACCTGGAACTGCAGCCTTGTGTGAACCCAGGGGCGTCACAGTTGGTATCAGAGCTCTAGTTCCCGTATCCTTAGGATCAACCTGTGTCGGGTCGTGGAGCTAGGATAGAGTTTCTTAGGATTCATGTATAGAGTCCGTAAGGAATTCCTAGTATGACTGAGGACGATAGGCGTATATCTCAAAATTTGAGAAATTTTTTTTATGACAACTATATGGTGAAAATTCAAAGTATTTGTGTGAATACTATATATGTGAAAATTGTATTGTAATACGCTATTTATAGAGGTCTATTTTGACTCCTAAACTCTTATTTTCTTTTGAACAGAGATGTCAGAATATGATATGTCACGTACTCAGAGATCTGGACAGGCTGAACCACAGCAAACTCCACCCGAGCCACATCAGACACCACCTGAGCCGCAACAGGATCCCCAGTACCTAGTAGATCTTATGGCTCCCCTAGTCGCTAGGATAGCAGCAATCGAGGAGCTTATGACGAATCACATTACACCACCACCACCACCAGTAGCTGAAACTGGCATTTCTCAAAAAAAATGGGACAGCTAAGTTTCAGAGGGACAAGGAAGGGAGTACTAAGAGAGTGCACGTCGGAGACAAGGGTAAGAACAAGAGACCCTTGACTGGACCTCAACAGCAATAGCAGGGCCCTCATAAGAAGGGATCTCAACAGGATCAGAGAGCAAGTCAGCAGCATAAGTTCCGGGGAACTTGTTTTAACTGTCGCAAGGTCGGACACAAGGCATTAGAATGCCGCAGTGCACTAACAAGAACTCAGAAGGGAAATGGTCCAATTCAGCAGCCGCAGAAGACTGAGGGGCAAGTTCAAGCAGTTCGGGAGTTTCCTCAGGGGCAGATTGTCCCATTTTCTCCGGCTCCAGCAGCAGAGCAGTTTTCAGCCACGGGCAGGGTTTATGCGGTTATTCCACGTGATCATGGAGCTAGCCGAGCAGTAGTGGAGGGTACGTTCTTTGTGAATTCCTTTCCCGTCCGTATTCTTTTCGATTCGGGAGCTTCACATTCTTTCATATCGCATGTATTTATGGCTAGACTCCAGCTTGTAGCTCAACCACTAGACACCCTTTTATCTGTTTCCACCCCTTTAGGTGAGGTATCGCTTCTGGAGAGCGTTAGTAGGAGATGTACCGTCAGTTTAGACGAGTCGGAGTTCATAGTCGATTTGATAGTATTGCATATGTCCGAGTTCGATGTCATCCTTGGTATGGATTGGTTGTCTTCCTACCATGTTAGTATTGACTGCTTTGCGAAGACAGTCAAGTTGTGAGCATCCGATGGGTCCGAGATGATTGTAGCCACCTCTCAGGGCAACCGATTTGCGGAGTCATTTCTGGCGTACATCGAGGAGGTGATGCGACGGGATCAGGGTGCTGAGTTATTGGAGACTAGAGTTGTCTCAGAGTATCAGGATGTCTTTCAGGACATACCTGGATTACCTCCGGTGAGAGAGGTAGAGTTCTGTATTGAGTTGCAGCCAGGCACAACCTCGATATCCCACGCAAACACGGCTTAAAACACCTTTTAAACACTTCTTAAAACTTTGTAAACTTGTTTTTAAACAAAACTCTTGATGGATCAGGAGTTGAATGCATAGGGATATTTATAACAACTCCAAACATCAACAAAAACACATGCAAAAAGACCAAAAAACCAAACAACAAAGCTGCTGGAAACTAGTCGTTACTGTTCAACAGCTAGTTCGGCGGTCGACCGCAGAGATAGGTCCAGTCGACCGCGAGCAGTAGAGCAACAAAGAAAACAAGCTGGATAAGTGACGGTCGACCGCAGCGTCAATGGCGTTCAACAAATATAGCTGAGTCTCTGGAAAAATAGCGGTTGACCGCAGCGCCATTGGCGGTCGACCGTGAACTGATAAAAACACATATGCAGATACTGGATGAATCGCGATCGACCGCAGAGACACACGCGGTCGACCGTGAGCTGTTAAAAGCAGTTTTCCAGGTTTGCAAAAAGAGGTTTTTGTTGACATATATAAAGAATCAAATTAGCTCCAAAAAAATATGAAATTTGGAGAAACGATTATAAACATGTAGATAAAAACAAAAAGATATATGTTTGAACACAGATAAACAGTTTCTGAAAAACTGCTTAATACTCGTTTTTGTAAATTCAATTAAAAATAACAAAACAACTCCAAAATTAGTAAAACTTAGGAAAATGTTTGTATATATGAATATAAACATGTAAATGAAGAAATTTTATAAATTTCATTTCCCAATTGTGAAAACTCATGTATTTTGCTAGTATGTCCAAAACATGAAAATGTAAACACATGAATTTTGACATTTTGGCTAAACCATGTTTTGAAACTTTACAAAATAATTATATAGACTTAATAGAAGATGTATATCATTATTGTTAAGTCCATAAATGAAGAAAACAATATTTACATAGAATTGCATATTCTATGCAATATATTCTTAAACGTAATACAATATGAAACAAATTAAAATGTGAATAAATTTGTTTGTTGTTTCATATCTATGTAGCTAAACCAAAACAATAATAAATATGAAATATGTAATCTCATATTTATAAACATGAAAACTCAAAACTATGTATGTATGTATATAACTATATATATATGCATAGAAACTAAAAACTTGTATGTATATATAAAACTATATATACATAGAAACCAAAACTAAAATGTATTTGCGGATGAAGCTTGAACTTGGATCTTCAACTTGAATTGCATAGACTTCAACCACTATTCCGCCAACCTCCATTGGATTTGATCGTTGAAGCGCAATCCATCCAACCTCCAATACGTTATTTGCCTAGAATAAATACGAAAACACAAACACTAGACAAACAACATTAGAAGTAAATTGTTTGTTAAACATCATCAAAACAAGAAGGCCAACAAACACTACCACCTGCAGCTTCCATAACCGACGAAACTCGTATACATCTATCTAGTGGTAAAAAAAAGAAAAAAAATCAACAATGAAATACCAAAGCATACATCTTACATTGATTGAGAATCCAATATTCAAGACCCTCCCTCCTTTAACGAATCTATCGGTGAGATCCATAGTGATCGTCCTCACAACATTCTCCTCCATTTGATGAACACCCTCAAGAACCAACCCCTACTCCCGACCTGAAACCTCGCGTGCAATGTAGGTCGGAGGCATACTCTCAACGAACCTCGCATCAATAATGGCACTGATGATCCTAGACCCAAGTCACCCAACCAACGCCTATATAATACACACCCATGCTTCGGTGTACAAGACTCACAACCTTCTTGCTCCCAATTTCTTCTGAGAAAAACAAAAGAATGTCTAGCTGTTAGTTTCCAGAACAACAAGACTCTCTGTATAAAGAAACACAAAATAATCCCATCCGTCCAAATAACTTCCACGTCATCAATCCCGCGTCTTTAATTCCCAAGTCAGTTTATATACTCCCCCCCCCCCCCCTCACCAAAACCCGCCGCGCGGGGCAAACAAAAGTCACGGTGGCCTTTTTACGAATCGGTCCTAACATTGCTGGCCGTCGTCCAAACCTCGACCTGGATCAATCTGACTCAGAACCAAGCCAAAAAGTAAAACAAACTCATTGTTTTAATTTTTTTAAGAAAGATATAAATAAATAAAAAGGACAAATTACAAATCTAAAAGCATATCTTCTTCAAGCTTGGGTTTATTTGTTGTGGAGCTCAACAGTAAAATTGAAAAAAAAGGAAAACCGGCAAATACTCCTCAATTTATCTAGGGTTTCATTTTGCGCCCCTCTTTCTATTTATCCCCAAACAAGAGGCCAGTGTTAGGGTTTCCAACCCCAAATTGGCGACCTCTTCCCAATCCCTAATGGATGAAGCCTGGGAGCGCGCGGTCGAGGCGGCGCTCGAAGTCCATGCAGCAGAATCATCATCGTCGTCATCATCCCCCTCTTCAGCGCCCCGAACCCTAACTCTAGATGGCGCAGTGAAGTGCCTCCATGGCCGCCTCCCTCCTCCGAGCCTCTTCGAGAAGTTCCCCAACCTCGAGCATCTTTCCTTAGCCAACATCGGTGTCTCCTCGCTCGAGAAGTTCCCTCGCCTGAGAAATCTCCAGCGATTGATTCTCTCTGACAACAGGATCGCCGGCGGCCTCGAGTTCTTGGTTGAAGCTGGCCTCGATTCGCTGCGTGATCTCGATCTATCCAACAATCGGATCCAGCTTATTGAAGATCTCGCTCCTCTCGCGCAGTTGCGCTTGGTTTCGCTTGATCTGTATGAGTGTCCGGTGACTAGGGCGAAGGATTACCGATCTAGGGTTTTTGGAATGATCCGATCTTTGAAGTATTTGGATAAGATGGATGCTGATGAGAATGAGAGGCCCGAGAGTGATGATGATGATGATGAGGAGGAGGAGGAGGATGAAGATGAGGAGGAGGATGAAATCGATGGAGATGGCGAGGTTGATGGTGAAGATCGCAGGGGGAAGGGGGTAAATGGTGCTGGGAGGAGTGGGGATGGAGTCGTGGATGTTGATGAGGATGAGAGTGATGCTGATGAGGAGGAGACTGAGGTCGGGGTTAGGAGAGAGGCGAATGGATCGCACCATCATCATTCGAATGGGTTTCATGTGGCGGCGGTTGGAGAGCAAGTCAGAGCAAGTCGATGATGATGGTGATGAGGAGGAGGATGTAGATGATGAGGACGATGCTGATAATTATGAGGGTAGTGATGATGATGATGAAATGGGTGAGGAGATTGATGCGGATGATGGGGAGGATGAGGATGTGGTGGAGGTGCATGATATTGCGGATAGTGATGACGATGATGGTGTCCAGGAGGAAGAGGATGATGATGATGATGAAGTGGATGAAGATGATGATGAAGATGATGATGAGGTTGAGGATGAAGGAGAGAACAGGGAGCCAAGGGGCGATGGGAGGTTGATGAGTGCTGAAGGGGAGATTGATGGGCATGAGCATGGAGAAGAGGATGAGAATGAAAATGGGGAGATTGGGGAGGCAGATGAGGAGGGTGTGGAAGAGGATCATGAATCCGATGATGATGATGATGGTGATGAGGTGATTTCTCATATTGAATTTATTTCTATTTTTTAGTTAATACATAATCTTAGTGTTCTTTTGTTAAACATAGTTTATGTTGTTCTTGGTATCATTTCATTATTGTTTGTTCTAGTTCTATTTTGTTGTTCAATTAAAATCTATCTGTTAAACACAGTATGTGACTTTAATTATAAAGTAGGACATCCTATGCTGACCACATGACTTTAAATTGAATTGTTTAGCGTGCATACTGACTTGTTTTTTATTCACTTAATTTCTTGTATTTGAATTAATACTTGCTTAGGCTATTTATCTTTTTGCTCTCAAAAAATGAAAAGAATGAAAATGCTAAAATACGTGTAGTTAGGTTTCATGATTCTGCTTTGAAATATTCTGTCTGCATCGCTTTTTTACCTTGTTAGTTGCATGTTGTTATGATATGAATATTTCGTTTGTTACTTCTTAGTGATGAAGTTTGTTGGCATCCATGATTTGTTTGATTCATAAGGGGGTTTCTGTTAAAATGCACTGTAAATATGATGGTCTGGGACTGACAGTTCTTTATGCAAGTTTTTCTTAGTCGAATGTAGAAGTTACAGTGTCATAGTGAGTGTTACTGATTTATGAGTTCTATTTCAATACTGGCTAGAAGGGCTTCTTTTTGCATTTCTTTCCTTTTTGCTCATTCTTTTGAATATGCTTGTCAATTTAGTTAATTATTTAATTAATAATGATGATTGGTCATTTGATTAAGATTTGGCAAAGCACTTTTTTAAGTAGTTGGTTTTAATGCTGTTCAAATTTATCATAGAATTTACAGGTGCTTTGGCTTCATTGATGATTTTTTTTTTACTTTATAAGCTTATGCGGGTTATTTGTGTTATCAACTTATCATCTAAGCTGCTGTTTTTTCATCCTGCTGTAAAGATTGATTTTTATATAGAATACTAATTTTTGAAATATCAAGAAAGAACACTGTGTTAGTTCCTTAAAATAAATCAGGACCTACTGTTTCGTTTGCATGAATTAGTTACCTGGTTTTCTTGTTTACTTATTCGTATCTTTGCAAATCTTTTATATATTTAATTTATCTGCATTCTTCAAAAGAAACTTTATGAATAGCATTACTCTATTAATCTTCAGTAAAAGAACGTCATCTCTATAACTGCTTGAAATGTACATTTATGGTTGAGGAAGTCCGTTTTAAAATTATCAGTTCGATTTGTGATGCAATTTTGTTTCGTCAGATCTGGTGGTTTGTTTATCATTTTACTACAAGTGTGATTCATGTCTATTTGTCAGCATTGTCCTGCAGTTTGCATCATTTTTATGCACACATGACAAAATCCTTAATTTAATTGGGACTTTTTTCTTTTGGATTTTTTCCTCCCATTGCAATGGCATATGCTTGGTTTGTTAGGTTGAAGTCAATCATTTTTTATTTTCAATATTCTCATAGAAGCAGTATAAAATTTATTTATTTATTTTTTCTTCTGTTGAATTTATCAATTGATTTTCCTGGTCTATTAATTCTTTGTTTGTGAGGCTGATGTTGTATTTTCATTTTATGTTCTTTATATGGGCATTGAATTTATCTGGTTCTATGCTTGATTCATGTCTATTTATGTGATATGTTTTTTTATCATAATGTAGCTATTTATCCTTCGTATTACTTTTTCCTTGATTTTCCAAACATTATGTCTCCGATCCACATGTCCTTGTTCTTTTTTGTATTTCCAATTATTATCTATATCTGATTTTTGTTTATGTTCTTTTTGTTTATGATCTCTATACAATTCGTTATATGCCCCAAACCTATGTTCATAGGGTAGTTTATAATTTCAGTTTTTAATATTGATTTTTTTTATTTATGTTCAGGAAGAGGATGGCGATGGAGATTATCTTGTTCAACCGATTGTTCAAGCTGAGCGAGATGAAAGAGGGGGTGAAGGCGATTCCGGTGCTTGCGATGAAGAAGAAGAAGAGGAGGAAGTCGCCCATGAAGACACCCAGCCGAGCAATGGAGTTCCTTCACAACCTTCTTCCTCCTCCTCCCAGAAAAAGAGGAAGAGAGACGATGATGGTGATGTTGCAGATGACTCTGTTGAGCATCTGAAATCATCAAAGCACTAAAACTTGCTTAGAAAATGTACATGGATGCTAGTAGAGAGGGAAAATGGGGGGAGGAAATGGACAACTGAAAGGTGGGGTTTTTAGCTGTTTATCTGAAGGTTTTTCTGCTGCTTTTTTCATGTCTGTGTAGGTGTTTATTGGAAGAAACAGTTGGTAGAGAGAAGTTTGGGAGGGAAATGAAGGAATGCAAAAAGTTTGTTTGTAATCTTGATCCTTCCCTCCCTCCAATATAATTCAAAAGTTGGTTAGTGAATTTGTCAGCATATATACTTCCCCCTCTTTTAAATGACAGTTATATGTTGTGTACTTGAAGTTTTTCCCTCCAAATCCTATAGAGCAGTGAGGAGTGATTTGAATTGAATCCAAGTTAGTAGCCGTTGCAGTCTCTCTCTCTCTCTCTCTCTCTCTGTTATTTATTTTTGATGCTGGTTTTGGTTAAGTTTTTGAGTACGAATGTGGTGTGCTGCTTGCCTTTACTTCGCTGCGGGTTTATATTTTTAGGGTGATGCTGCGAGCCTGGGAGCGCAAGCGCGAGAGAAGGCATTTGGGCCGGGTAAGTCCATGTATTGATTTCTGTTTGTGCGCGTGTTGCGTGTTCGGCTTGACGGCTGATATTTATTTGATTGGGATCCCATTAAAATAGTGGTGGGCCTGGTGGGTGATGTGAGGGATGACGTGTACAGCTGGGCTACGCGATATCTTTTGATGGGGGTATTGGCACCGCCCGGTCAAGTGGAGGTTTCTTTTGTTTTTGTTTTTGTTTATTTAAAGGAATGCTTTTGTTTGCTGGTTGGTTGGTTTTTGCGGCGTGCGAGTCAGCAGCGGGAGATGGCGGTGGAGATTGATGACGGTGATGGGATAATATTCGGGGGTTTCCCAGCTAAAGCGCTTGTTATGGGCCCGTTTGGGACTTTCTGGATGACTTGATGGTCCTACCATGGTAATTTCACAAAGCTCCATTTCTTTTGGGAAAAATGGTGTCAGGCCCAATAAAACAAAAGGAAAATTATGTCAAGGTCCCATAGGTAAAAACTTCAGCAATCTATTTGACTTTTTTTGTATGTGTTTTAGCACTTAAATTGGAGAGCTATGTTCTGTAGTTTTTCTTTAGCAATTATTACCTGCCAACTAAACATAAAAAAAGAATAAAAAAAATAAAAAACCTCAAAATGCCCTATCTCCTCTATTCTTTAATGTTAAGTCTAAAAGCAAGTTGAATTGGACTTAATATGAAAGTCTAATTTCATATTAAGTTCAATTTAATTCATGATAAGTCTAATTTAATTCCTTTTAAGTCTAATTTAAATCATGTAATGTCTAATTCAAATTGTTTTAAATCAATCTAATTCATGTTAAATCTAATTCAAATTGTTTTAAATCTAATCTAATTCATGTTAAGTCTAATTCAACTTGTTTTAGGTCTAATTTCATGTTAAGTCCAATTTAATTCATGTTAAGTCTAATTTATATCCTTTTTAAGTCTAATTTAAATCATGTTATATCTAATTCAACTTGTTTTAAGTTTAATTTAATTAGACTTAATATGAAATTAGACTTAAAAAGGTTGAATTAGACTTAACATGATTTAAAATAGACTTAAAATAAGTTAAAATAGACTTAACATGATTCATATTAAGCCTAATTCAATTTTTTTTAGACTTAAATAAGTTGAATTAGACATAACATGATATAAATTAGACTTTAAAGGAATTAAATTGGACTTAACATAAACCGAATTAGACTTAACATGAACCAAATTAGAGTTAACATGAATCAAATTGGACTTAATATGAAATTAGACTTAAAACAAGTTGAATTAGGCTTAACGTGATTCATGTTAAATCTAATTCAACTTGTTTTTAGACTTGAAACAAGTTGAATTAGACATAACATTATTTATATTAGACTTAAAAGAAATTAAATTAGACTTAACATGAACTAAATTAGATTTAACATGAAAATTGACTTAAAACAAGTTGAATTAGACTTAACATGATTTAAATTGGACTTAATATAAACCAAATTGGACTTAACATGAACTGAATTGGACTTAACATGATTTAAATTGGACTTAACATGAACCGAATTGGACTTAACATATAATCCATGTTAAGACTGTTTCATTTTATTTTAAGTCTAATTTCATGTTAAGTCCAATTTAAATTAGACATAAAATGATTTAAATTAGGCTTGACAAGGTTTAAATTAGACATAAAACAATTTAAATTAGACTTAAAATGATTTAAACTGGACTTAACACGAACCAAACTGGACTTAACACGAACCAAACTGGATTTAACACGAATCAAATTGGACTTAACATGGACCAAACTGGACTTAACATGAACTAAACTGGACTTAACACTAAATTGGATTAAAATTAGACTTAAAAGGAATTAAATTAGATTTAACATGAATCAAATTGGACTTAACATGGACCAAATTGGACTTAACATGAACTAAACTGGACTTAACACTAAATTGGATTAAAATTAGACTTAAAAGGAATTAAATTAGATTTAACATGAATCAAATTAGCCTTAACATGAAGTAAAATTAGACTTCACATGAAATTAGACTTAAAATAAGTTGAAATAGACTTAACATGATTCATGTTAAGTCTAATTCAACTTATTTTATTGACTTAAAATAAGTTGAATTAGACATAACATGATTTAAATTAGACTTGAAAGGAATTAAATTAGAATTAACATGAATCAAACTGGACTTAATATGAATTAAATTGAACTTAACTTAAAATTAGACTTAAAACATGTTAAATTAGACTTAACATGATTCTTATTAACTCTAATTCAACTTATTTTTAAACCTATAAAAAGTTGAATTAGACTTAACAAGATTTAAATTGGACTTAAAAAGAATTAACTTAGACTTAACATGAATGAAACTGGACCTAACATGATAGATCTGGAGAGAACGAAGAGGGAGGAGGAAATGAGGATATTTTGGGATTTTATGTTTGTTTCTCTCTCTTTATGTGTAGTTGGCATGATAATTACATGAAAAAAGAGCTGCATCACATGATGTGACATTTGTTAGGACTGAACCACATGGAAAAAAGTGGAGGGGCTGTAACACATGAATGTTTTACTTTTGGGGCATTGACACAATTTTCCCAAAAAACAAAACTTGATGTGTCCTAACTCATTTCATGGATGCTCCTCCTTCCTCTCTTCTTCCCCTTCTACTCTCTCCATCCTCGAAAAAGGACATACTTATATCTCAATCTAAGATCTAACATATAAAACCTACATCGTCCTCCCTTAGCTCCTTCGCTCGCGCTGGCGCTGCTCCTCCTCCTTGCCGGCGGTAATGGAGGTTAAGTATGTTGAGGGAGAATGAGTTTTTTGGAGAAGAGGGAAGAGAAGGAGGAACAGAGGCTTTGAGGAGAAGCTATTGTATCGGTTTAGATTTAGGTTTGGGTCTAGGTTTGAAGCATGGAGAAGTAGAGAGAGGGTTTTGAATTTGTGTATGGATTTGATTGAGGATTTAGGCATGGATTTGATTAAAGTGTGTAGGAATGAGCTTGTGAAGAAGCAAAATTTAGCATTCATGCTAATTCATGCTAATGATTTGCAAGTTAGTATTACAGAGTTAATGAGTTTATTATTGCAATTCTAACTTTTATTTTTAGTACTGTTTTTTCTTTGGTCCTTTCCTTCATCATTGGAGCATGAGTTTGTTTGATATTTCTCTTTTTTGCTTGAGTTTTAAGAATAAAATTGATGATTCTTTTGTACTTGTTTGAAATTTGTGTTTTGCTAAGAGTTGGCGGCCATGGCCTAAGCTCAAAGGTAAATGAGTATAGTATAGAGAGAGTGATTGTGGATCGAGAATGTAAGTAATAATAACAGGTCATATATAAAGAAAATATAATAGACATATCGTCGTATGGTTGTGTGTATGTAAACATCAAAGCTACAGTATGTTAATTTTGAACATTGGCTGTTAATGTTAAGCATTAACTGTTAAGTATACCCATTGGCCGTTAACTATATTTAGTACATGGTAACTTTATCTAGAACATGTTAACTATATCTGCTACTTGTGAAGTTTAGCTAATACCTGTTAACTATATTCGTTACCTCTTAGCTTTAGCTAGTAACTATTAACTATATTTAGCACATATTTAGCTAATATATTCCAACTACATCCAATACTTGTTAACTTTAGCAAGTACTGTTAACTAATATTGGATTTAGTTAGCACATATTAGCTAAAGTTAACAAATACCGGATATAGTTAACATGTTATGACCAAAGTTAACATGTACTTGGTATAGTTAATAGATATTGATTAAAGTTAACAGGTACATAATATAGTTAACATGTACTTACTAGAGTTAATAGGTACAAGCTAAAATAGCAAGTATTGAATATAATCAATATTTTTTACTTTAAAGTAGTTTTTCTCCTCTTTGTTTAGCTAAAACAAAGAATGGATTATCTAAATTGAACACAATTGTGCATTCATAATCAGAACTTTGTACTCTCCTTTGCATTCAATGACAAGATGTATTTTTTGTCGCCGCAAATTTATTTTTATATGTTATGATTGTGTTCTTTTAGAACAACATATAATGTATTTATTGTTTTGCTTCAACCAGAGAACTTATTGAATTCAACAATCACAAGATAGATGAATCTCATTATGAAAATCATGGAATTGTTTATGTTTATACAAATGAAATAAAATTGAAGTAGATGTCAATTGAGATGACTGTCCATTGACCTCATTTGCTATGTTTTGTGTCATCGTGACCAATACTCGTTAACTATGTTATTTGCCTGTTAACTTTAGTTATTATATGTTAACTATATCCAATACCTATTAACTTTAGCCAGTACTTGTTAACTATACATTTTACCTATTAACTATATTTAGTACCTGTTAACTTTAGCTAGTACCTATTAACTATATTCAGTACCTGTTAACTTTAGTTAGTACCTATTAACTATATCCATTACAAAGATGATTCTACAAGTATATTTTACTTATCTTTAAGCAAAAGAGGATAATATGACTCGCATTTAGAATCAGAACTTTGTACTCTCCTTTGCATTTTATTGACAAGATAACTCGCCACTACAACACCTGAAATCTACCATAGCGGCCGAAAAACATTATGGTATTATTTCATAGCGTTTTAATCAACGCTGTGTCAGAACCCGCTATAGTAGGTCTGTGGCTTTACATAGCGTTTCCCCAAACGCTATCAAAAAGTTTCCAACCATAGCATTTTTATGTAGCTATAAAAGAGTATTCAATAGCGTTTCTATATTGCTATGACAAATATTTTTCATAGCGGTTGAAAAACGCTATTAGTTAGTTTCCAACAAT